CACATAGGCCGCCTGAGCAGCGTGTGGCATCTGCGTCTCCCATGCACGCGATGCTTACACTGAGAGCATGCAGTGTGAACAAGCTATAAAGCTCAGTTCAGATCAAAGAACGTTGCAGGAGAAGTTCCAGCGGCGTGAACTGGTTGTCTCAGCTTTACTCCAGCCGGCTGATGGCGTTGTGTGCAACTCAGCTCCAGTAGCTGGTTTTAGAACGTAAGGCACGACACCTGTTTCAACAGCCAATCAGCTGGTTGGAACGGCAGGACTTTGGGACGGAGGAAAGAGAGGATCACCTCATCAGTTTGTTTCAAAACAAGCCTTACACTTTACCCATGCACCCATGGATGACTCCAAATTCTCAACCCTCTCATTTTATTGAGAGTTTCATCAATAAAATGCAGCAGTAGCAAGAAACTCACCATCACTTTCCTTAAAAATGATATCCAGCTACACAAAAGCCTGAAAAGCCGTCAATCAGAACTGAAGCACAGAGAGTTGTTGCTATGGAGACAACACACTGCCTGAAGTTGCTTTGGTGGGAAGTGGCAGGTTTCAGAAGGTTGCAGACAGGGGCATTGCCAGTAGTTGTAAGTTTTAACTTGTCTGGTTGCAAATCTTTAGTCTGAACATCAGGCAGCTGGTTCCAGCGCTGCATCATAATGACTAAAAGCCGCTTCTCCTTACTTGGATTTGACCCTCGGCACCGCTAGCAGTCCACTGCCAGAGAGACCCAGAGGTCTCAAAGGGTTATAGGCCTATAGTTCAAGCATATCAGATATGCATTCAGGGCCAACTCCATGTATAGTCTGATAAATAAGTAATACAACTTCAAAATCAATTCTGTGGCTTACTGCCAACCGATGTAGAGGCTTAAGAACCGCTGTGATTTGGGCTGTTCTATTAGTTTTGGTCAGAGTTGCAGGTGCCTAACTTTAACTTTTAGCTATGTATAACTATCTATTTAGTTAACTCACTGTTGGGTTGGAGTCGAGTAAAACACAGAGGTTCCTAACCTGCTCTTTAGTTTGCACAGCCTTGTCCTTCAGGTTAAAAGCAACCTTGAGCCTTTCATATTTGCACCTGAATAAAATACCTGTTTTGTCTCTATTAAGTTTCAGGTGATTTTTCAGACATCCAATTATTTATTTCCCCAATGCACTTGCATAGTAATAGTAATATAATAGCCAATAAGACTGTAGTCGTTTGGTGACAGAGCTATGTACATTTGGCTGTCATCAGCATAACTGTGATAAGCCAGGTTGATAATCTGAATGCCAAGTGGGAGCGTGTACTACTTTAACATAAGGAGGTCCTTAGACTTGTAGACTTGGTCTGTGAGGCAGCTCAGAGAAGTTGTAGGTTACTGTAGTAGCTCCAAAACTCTGCAGAAAGTAATGCATTCTGTGATTTTGTGGAAAATGGAGGATTGCTCGCAGTCTAAATGAATGCTGTAGACTTTAAACCCTGGTACACTGGACACAAAACATCTGGCTTTTGTCGTCAGTGGGAAAGACTACAATCAGAATTCATTCCCAGGTCAAATGACTCTGCTGTAGTCACGGGTATTTATCGGATCCAGCTCTGATCGGCAGTGATGGAAACATGACAGCCAGGCGGACGCGCTCATTTTCAGCCCTTCTCTGGCGTGATGCTGACACACGTTAAGTTATACATTATTTACAGTTTTTTTTATAGTCTATGGGACCACAAGCAGTTAAACATCATCATCAACAACAACAACAACAACAACAACAACAACAACAACAACAAAGAAAGCTTTGTATTTTATTGGCTCTTCATATGTTTTGTATGTAAAATGTTTAACCTGTAAAGTAAAGCTAAAGCTTTACTAGCAGTACTGAAGCTAAGTAAAGTAAAAAGTAAATTTCACTCTGAAAAGTATAAAGAAGTATAAAGTGGCATTAAAGGAAAATAGTAGAGTACAACATTTCCTTATTAAACAGTGTATAAACTCTAGCTCTATGTTCTATATGTAGTTGAGCTGTGTACTTGACTGTTTATCCTGAAGCCACATTGTTACCATCCACTGTTTAGATCTTGGTGCTTTTTAACTCTAGATTTGAACCGGATGAAGGATTTTAGTCATCGGACGTCTGGATCTTAAGTTATCAGAGAAACAAGCTGAGCTAATGTTAGCAGCAGCTCGGCTCGCAGCCCCTCCGGGACGTCCTTTGTCTGTCCAACAGCGTGGGAGAAGCAGTGATTTTTAAGGTGGAATTGCTTTATTCAGTGTGTTTAGTGGTTTTAATCAGCGGGTCTGTTTGTTTTGGAGAGGAGGAGACCTCTGTGGGCTCCCGGTAGAAACCTCCTGAACCATGAACACTGAAGGAATCCTAACCGGGAGAAGCTGACTGCAATGACAACAATTGTGGTGAGGATGCCATCCCATGATTCCACGCTACTGAGAGACCCCCAAGCAGCAGAAATGATATACAGTACGTTCAAGTACAGTGCATATATGTACTTAGTTCCATCCCACCACTGCTGAATGCTGAAGTTCAAACACCTTTGAGCTGATGAGCAAAAAGTCAGTTTCAACATGTCTCATAAAATAGCTGCTGGAACTGCAAATGGATGAGATGTATCTGAGCATCAAAGTGTGGATTTTCCCTTGATGGGACTCAAAATGTTGAATATGTAGATCGTGTCTTCACATCCCTCGGTACACTCCCATCCTTCCCCCCTCCTCCTTTCCTCGGGTCTGTTGGCTGAGCTCAAGTGTTATTCCTCCTCTCCAACATTTACACATGCGACTCCATCCCTCTCGCCCTCCTTCAATCTGCTCATCCTCCACTCTTTTTCTTTTTTTGCGCCTGAAGCACCTGCAGGGAGAAGGCGGTGGCGTGGTGAAATGTTAAAATATAACCATAAAATTAATGGGTCCTGGTCTTAAAATCAAGATGTGCTTTGATGACTTGCCTGGGGGAGAACTGTAATAAAGACTTGAGTAGTTCATGTAGAGGGAAAAATGAACGTGTGGATCAGGCTCTTCTGGATTTTGAGGATTTTTAATCATATTTTCAAACACAATTATTCTCCAATATAATATGTTCATTCTAACAAAATTCATAACTTTTTTTTTTTTTTTTTTACCATAGATGGGTTAGTAAGATTAAATATCTATAAGAATACGACTTTGGAATAGAGAAAATAACAGTTTCAGACCCTACTCAGGTCACGCCTTTCCTCCATTAGCCATCTAAATTCGTATGCTTTCTCTTTATGTGCACTACATGATGGCAATTAGCTCCTAGTAACTGAGCATAGATTGTATGCATGCATTGTGGGATAATTTGAGTCCAATATATAGGGTATAATATATAATAATTATCACAGACAACACGACAAAATGGCAGCATATAGTGGACTGTATGTGGTTAGTGAGCATTTTATGACAGTTGAAAAGCACTAAAGCTGTTATTTGGAAAATTTAGTTGTACTAAGGCCCAAAACTATTAATTATTTTCAGTACCAATTAATCATTTTATCTATAAAATGTTGGAAAATGGTAAAACAAATGCTGATTACAAGTTCACACAATCCAAAACCCAAATATATTCAATTAAAAACTATATAAAACAGAGAAAAGGACCAATAATGTTTTATCATTAATCAGTTTTCAGGAAATGCAGTGAGAGAAAGAGAGGGGGATGAGAACGAAGGTCCACAGTCGGAATTGAACCAGGAACGTTGCAGTGATGGTTAACCTGTATGGCCACCAATCCAAAATACCAATTTACAATCTGTAGCTTCAGTTTAAACCTGTGAATCCCAAAAAATAATCAGAATTTGCCTCCTGTCAGAATAAAAAAAGCCTAAGAAAACAACACTGTGATTTCTTAGAAGCAGCTGATATATGATTTTTAATAAGAAGCCGCCAGTATCGGTCTGATGTATCCGTCCGACCCTCCTCCTCCTCTCATCCTTGAACTGCAGCAGCTCGGAGTAGAAGAGTAAGAGCTGCTGAAATTTTTATTTAGCAGATGAATACACCTATTATATACCTCCCCCAATGCACTCATGCATGCATGTTTACACTCAAACACACACATACACAAACTCCCAAATGTGCTGTTGTGAGTGGTGAGAACCCAGAGCAATTAAAAGCAAGGAAGATCCACACTGGGTGTGTGTTTTTTTCCGTCATACTGCCAGTTTTTATTTCTTGCACTTGTGTGTGCAGTGACAGTGTGCGTCCCCACAGTGCCAGGCCTCTCTTATCAGTATGCCGTGTGCACTTCCTCTCTAAACATGGCCAAAGCTTTTGGGAGCCGTGAAGCTTCACTGATAAGATAACAGACAAAGCCTTCTCTCTTTAAGGAAGGCGTGAAATAGAAAATAGGAGATCCCTCTCTGCGGAATTAGATGGAAAGAATAGCCGGAGAGAAGCAAAGAGGAATCATATGTTTGGAAAATTAGTTTTAAGGAAGTGAGTCAGATATGAGCCATGAAGGTTAGGGCAGGAAGGAATTCATTTTTAGTGAAGGAATAAAATAATACACACAAACACACACTCGCACGGCTGCCACTTCTGTGTTAGGTGAAGATGATCTGCAGAGCATATTTAAATACTTTGCCATGGCAACAGGCTCTATGATTAGGGGCAAATAGGCAAAACTGCTGCAGCACTTGAGATTGAGATGATACAAATTAAGGGAACTCTGGACGGTTGCCAAGGAGACGAAATAGGCGGAGAGGTTAAAGTCCAACCTAAACACACCTTAAAGCTATTTTAGTGACAGCAGAGCAGAGAGTGGGTGGGGGGAGGGGAGGACGGAGCAGGGGGAGAGGAGGAGGGGGGGGTTTCTGACAGCCGAGCTCCACAAATAATCACTAGACCTGCCGAGGTGTGTGATCAGAGTTCAAAATCCCTCCATATGTGTGTGTGTGTGTGTGTGTGTGTGCCTTTCATTGTTCAGTGGTTTCATGTGTCCCAGCGGCCTCTCACACCTCTGCAAATGAAAAGGTCTTTAATCCAGTTGAATTTCATGCATTTTCTTTATTGTTCCTTCGTGGATTCATTTCCATTTTAAAAGCCCAAATACTGCTTGTTTCCCCCCACATGACATGATCATCTGGCAACAAATTCATCAATAACGACAAAAGTGACATTATGGCTTTGTGACAACAGCGGGCCTCACAGGTTTACAGTGTTCAGATGCTTCTTCAGTGTTTAAAGGTGCCAAACCGGGGACAAAGCCCCGTGTGAAACATACAACGTGTGTCAGAGGGTTTGTTCAAAGGGTCCCACACTATCTAGATTTTATTTACCGGGATATTTTAGAGGTTCAGAGAGAGTTCAGTTTTCCATTCTGTCTCAACTGTAGGTGAGCAATAGCTTTACTTTTAACCAAACAATGTACAGTTTGAAACGTCTCGATAAGACGTTGGTGATATATGACACCTGAGTCAGCTGCACGCGCTGAATGAAGACTGTGAGAGGTGTTTGAAAGCTCTGGAAACCCATTAGTGGACCTTTGGATCTCAGATTGTCTGTACCATACTGTGAACTTACTATGTGTTAGGAATTTTGCAGCATGTAGACCAGTGGTCCCCAACCTCTTTTCCTTAAGCTGCTATCACTGAGTTAACTGACGAACCCTGAGTATGTGATGTATTTTATGGATATTTCATATTCTATTCAATGTATAACAATAACAGTAGAGAACAGCTGATAAACTGTACAATGAACACAACCAGTGAACACAACAACTGCAGGAAGTTTGTGTAAACGAGAGATTTGGCTGAATTTTGAGCAGATTATTTCCTGTAAATTTTGATTACAAATTTTATGAACTCTTTGTTTTAACTGCATACTTTAACATCTGATGCAGGACGAGGCTATTGAGATCTTAAATAATAATGAAAAATTAAAAAATAATACGTTTTCTTACACCCCTTTAAAATCAAGGAGGTTGTGAAGCTTTGGCGACCCCTAGTGGAGGTCCCGACCCACAGGTTGGGAACCACTGATGAGCAACTGAGCAAACTCTATCTGGTCCGAGGTCGAGAAGAACCTTAATTATTCAAATTCTGTTGTAAGATGTGATTTTTTACATTTCACACAATCAGCAGCTCAACTAGAAAAGCTGGCATGTTTCCTGGAGACGGTGTGCAACGAGCTTTGACGTACGTTTTCTCTCACTTGGCGAGTGTGTCAGAGGTGTTACCCAATCGGCAGCAACGTGTATATAAACACCGAAACAGTGCGCTTGCCTACCCAACAGGGTGTTCAACGCGCCACCATTTCCGTACAGAGAAATGTTTCGCTACGTTTTGTCAGGTTCGCCTCGTTTGAGTTTGCAGAGCCACTCCCGTCGGCCAATCAGAGTCCAGTACTGTGCATCATCACTATGACATCATCAGGGTAATTATCTCGGACTTTAGAGAGGTCCCTCAGAGCCACCGAGCACTTTATACAACTGTCCTCACAGGCGGATTTAACGTGACCAGACGTGAACTTTCTTTTGAAATTCGGGACATTCCCCGAATCCCGTCCTGTTTAGAAAGTTATTATTTTATATTATCATTTGTTGAAATGTGACTTTACTTTAAAAGAAAGCAACATTTTAATAATAATGATAATAATAATGATAATGACTATAAAGGAAAGAGTTACTAAATAGTAAGTAAAATAAGATTAATCGAAAATGAACCGTTAATAGCAAGAAATCGTCTGTAGGCTGTGAGACTCGATTCGACTTGAGACTTGAAGGCAAACATGTTGAGACCTGACGTGGTGACACATTAATATAGAAAAAAAACTGCTCTGAACGTAGTGTGTATTTTTGGAGCGCTGCCAACTCATCATGAATAATCAATAACATAACAGAGATACAAGCTACGAGCTGTGGCTGTCACCAGAATAAAGAGGACTCTAATGAGAGAAGCCACTCATTAAATTATCAATTAGTCTACATTAATTATAGTAGACAGAATATTTTTTTACTCTCTGAATCTGTGAAAATATCCTGATCAGATCACTTATGTAGCTTATAATTACTGCTTGTATTGTAAAAATATATTAAATATGTAAGAGGATTTTGTCCTTTCACCTGTCTGTATAAGAAATAACAGATTGTTGATGTCATTCGACCTGTTTTAAACACCGGATGCAGTCGATGTTTGAAAACGACTGTAACATACCTGTCACCTGTGCATAATGGAAACTTAAGATTGGCCACGTGACCACTCCCCCCCCCCGTCCTAAATTCTACCCACTCTCATCCGGTCACCCTCACATTAAGTCTAATCTTAAGGTGTGAAATCGGTGCAGTTTGACCGAGTCCAAATCAATTTCAAAATAAAATTGCGACGGCTAGATAATGTGGGACCTGAACCATTTCATTTCTCGTCCTTCTGTTGTTGAAAATGAAAACGTTTCCTGAATAATTGTGTTATTTTAAAAAGCTTTTAATGTAAATGGCGTTACATCAACTGTCTTCAACATATTTGAAATCAGCTGTTCTGCCTAAAACTGAGCCCGAAGCAGATGCAGTGAGTGAAGGCAGTGAGTCGGTCGGGTCATTAATCATCAGACTGTTATCTTACCAGAGTGTGACGTATACTGGTGGACCACTGTCCTCTGCCCCCACACTGCCTTTACTTTTCTTCATTAAGCAGAGAAAAGACAAATATAAAATAAAAATAAAATAAACAGCGACACTTAAGAAAAAGGTAGTAAAACGGTCAGGCAGTATTCAAAGTATTCAAAGCACAGTAGAAGAAGGTTTTTTTTTTGTTCAGGCACTTGTTAAACTCCCTCTGTGTTGTTCATGAACAACAGTAACCAGAGCCGTGGAATGCTCTTTCCCTAATATTGTCATTATAGTGGTGATTATAGTAATGGGGTTTGGCTTTGTTGCTGCCGTACATCAGGCCGGCACAGTGTGAGTGCGCGTGTGTGTGTAAATGTGTGTGTAAGTGTGTGTGTGTGTGTGTGAGTGTGAACACTGTGAATCAATGAAAATACACTGATTAAATCTCCGGTCCTTCACGTGTGTACAATAAGTGACACAAGTAAACTTTTTTTTTAAATACACAGAGAAAATAACTCTAATTTTACATTCAACTTAAGATTTTGAAGAGAAACAACGACGACAGAGTCCGGGTGTAAAATAAACAGTCATATAGCCTCAATGACAACCTCAAAACTGACATGTTTTGTTAAAATAAGCCATTTAAAAGGCATCGAGTCTCCTCGGATTGTTTGAAATCGCATCTAAAACAGAATATTCAGATGAAGAATTTCATTTCAAGTCTGTAACGAGTTTTAAAATATTAATATTGGACAGTTAGGAAGACACTTTATTGTTGTCTTATCAAATGATTGATATTAAAGGTCCAAGATGTGTTTAGCGTAGCTTAGCACAAAGCCTGGAAGCAGTAGGAAACTGCTAGCATCGCTCTGGCTAATGTTAGCCGTCCAAGCAGATAAAATTGGTATCTGTCTTTTCATCATGATGTGGGGCGAGACAGTAAACTGTTCCCTTAAAGGAATAGTTCGACATTTTGGGAAACATATTTATTTGCTTTCTTGTAGTTTAGCTTAGCATAAAAGAACAGCTTGCCTGGCTGGAGTTTTTTACTTTCGGACAGAGCATAGCTCGCCGTTTCCTCCTGTTTTCAGTCTTTATGCTAAGCTAACTTATTGCCCGCTGGCTGTAGCTTCAAACATGAAAGCGGTATCACGTTCTAATCTAAGTCTCGCCAGGAAAACAAAAGAGCGCATTTCCCCAAATCTGGAACCGTTCCTTTAAGCTGTCAGTCACAATGGACGAGGACATCGTCATTCTCTGATAATACGGTCAACAGCTGCGTTGCCTCGTTAAAAAGACAACCCAGGTCTGTTGTAGTTTAAATATTAAGACTTCTTCATGGTTGTCTTCTGTGGTTGGCTGAGTTTTTATGATAATACTGAGGTCTATTTAATTGTAGCTCGAACAGCTGAGGGATTAAGACAATTTCAACCGAGTCAATCGAGCTGTTTGATAAAGTGTCTCGTTATTCAGCTCGACAGATAGAAATGAGTGAATTCTGTTTTAGGGTGGATTTCGAGACTCATCACAGTGAAAGATGAACTCAGTGACATCGAATACGGACAGTGTGACTGATGACGGCTGCTGCTGTTGAGTGAAAACCTTTTTTATGTTAATATCAAACGGCAACTTTTCAAGTTGAGATTTTAAGGTGCGTTTTAAAGGGTTACGTGATCCCTAAATGTTTTCTCAAACTGTGAAGGAACGTGGGATCATTGAGTTCAATAAAGAACAATGTTAAAAAAAACAAAGCCACAAGGTTTTTGCCTGGTAATAACACAGTGTCCAAGACTGACAGATCATTGAAGTGCCTATCGCACCCCCCCCGTCTCAGCTAAAGGCAACAGTCAGCTCCATTTAACAGTGTCTCTGTTCGAATCCCAGAGCCAATTAAAAGGTGTGATGCCTCCAATAGGCCGACTGTTTTCAATGTCGCTGTAAAATTGGTCAGTAGGGAAGACATCAGCCCCCCGAACCACATCCTAAATTAATCGGAGATAATCACATAACCGAAAATTAAGTCCATTTTCCTATTTAATACCCCACCCACCAACCCACCCACCAACCCACAGTACGACTATACACACACATGTGGCACGTCTACACATGGGTGTCATTACACAGACAGACGCTGATTCCCAGCAGGCACGATGCACGCATGAAATATGTGTTAGAGCTTATCACAAGCTTTGTTAAGTTCACAACAGTGATGCTTACCTCCCTTTTTTTTTTCACTCCTCTGAGTGGGGTGGAGGGATTTTGGGGTGATTTATACACAAACACTAAACACTGAAAGTGACATCATTAATTAGGGATGGGAAAAACAGACTAATAAAAACAAGCTGCATAAAGCAGAGCAGAGCGTTTTTGCCTCGCTGGAAAGGAGTTTCATTTCAAAAACATGCGAAAGAAACCATTTGAAACAATAATGAAGTCTTGTTTTGGTAAATAAGTCCTGACTTTAAGGCAAAGCACATAATGGATTCCTGATGCAGATTACAAATGATCTTTTTCTTATAATGATCTTTTTCTTATTCTTGTTTAAAAATATCAAATTTCACGTGAAGAAAAGGTCCTTTGCCTGCATTTCTGGAATGAAACCCCTCGAGTTCAGCCAGTCATTTGACACCCAGCCTCTATTTCATCCCTTTGACCAGCAAAGCATCCGGCTTCTCTTCTCCGAATGTAAAACTCTCTGGGTTCTTCTTTCAGCACTGCGCCCTGAACGCTGCTGGCCTTTCCATCCCCATCCTCTACACCCCCAGCTTCCTCTCTCATGACGAGCCACTGGTTCCGGATCAGCTGCAGCCTGTTGGCACTGCGTGGTTGGCACTGAGGGGGATGTTCCCGCTGATCTGTGATCAGACTGAGCTGTAACGGCACTGAGTGAAAGAAAACAACAAAAGATGCGGCTCACGTGTACTTCAGCCGAGATCTACACCCTTCTGACATTTCGCTAGCTTACAATAAACTATATTTAAATACCAGAGCACCAAAAGAGGTCAGATGTTATAACAAATGCGTCTTTTAACTGGAAGGCAGGAAACCCAATGAGCACTGATCTGGCAATTTAAAGTGTGTCCAGAAATTTGGTTGAAAAGAAGGTAATTTCTTAGGAAGTCTTGCTTTGCAGCATGCAGGCAAAGGTCTGTTATTTCAGTTATTTTAAATTAGTTTTTAAGCAGCTATTTCGACAGGATTAAACTGCCTGCTCAATTTTATTTTGTCATCATGCAATTACTGTTTGACATTTTATTCACCATATTTGATGCTTTTTCTATACACAAATTTAACATGTTTGCATTCTCAGCTGACCTTTTTCTTATTTTAATTATATAGCTCAAAAGAAAGAAATTACAACCTTGCCTCAAACAGTTTTCACTCTGTAGAGCAGAACACACGCTCTCACCAATTACCCTAAATTTGGATAAGGAAAACTGGAATTAATTTGAGGTCATTAATTTAAGGTGTACCAATCCAGTATTGTTTCAGTGTCCCCTGTAATTAGTACCAAATTACATAGTTCTTTCAGGGAAACCAAAACTGTTTTAACGGTATTTAAATAACTGTATTTCAATATCAAGCAGGTCTTAAATCTTGTCATTTAAATGCAGTTTTATACATCCAGGATGTAGAGTAGGGTTCAGAGCTAAAGTTTTCTCTCCTTAGGAATGTGCAGATAATTTATGCAACATTAGCCGGCTCCTGGTTAACCTCACAGGTTAAAGCGACAGAAGATCACTGGCGGCAGATTATCTGATTATCATCAGTTTATCTCTAATTAATGTTAACTCCACACATGAACAGATCAGACTGATCCGACTGTTGTTTGGTCGGTGTGCTCTCAAAGATTTGTTAGACAGCGACGTCCCACATTCACTACAGTCGGGACCTGAGCCCATTGTTATAATCAGGAGTCAGTCAGGAGTCTTTTAACCTTTTATGTAGGGCTGCAGCTATCGATTAATTAAGTAATCGAGTATTCTGTCGATTATTAAATGTATGTAATTATTGAAGCAACAGTAGCAATATAGCTATAGTTAATATACAATAGAGAAAACAATGACTCATAGCTGCTAACTAGCTTTTCACAGTGAAGCATACGGCTCCGATACTTATATGGATCATACAAAGAGGCTTTTTAGTAACTTTTATGCATATCTATTAATACCTATCAATAGTTTAATCCTATTAACTTTTTTGTTCCGTTTTGAATTCAAAGAGATATATGTGTTGGAATCTTTAATTAAGCCTGCGTGTGTCTGTGTGAATCTTTCAGGATTTCTAGGATGAGCAGGGTGTGTTTTCAGAGAGTTTGTGGCCCCAGAGTGAGCCTCCTCAGGCCCCCCCAAAAGCTGCAGCAACTAACTTGTTAATGATAAAGTGTGGAAAGTAAGTAAGCTTCAGCTGTTGTTTCACATGTTTCTATCTTCTTCTATCTCATCTCATTTTCAGGTGGCGGTTGTAAACATTAATTAGGCTGCCATTAAAAAAGTTCTTCCTTCTCAGGCAACAAAAGATAATTACAAGTCTAAATTGATTCTCTGAGTTTTAGTTATTAATAACTTTAATTACTTTCAAATGTTGAAAAACTAAACCTAATTAGAACCAATAAGGGATTCAATCAGGGATTTGAGATGCAGATTCAATAATCAGATTTAGATTCTATAAAATGCCACTGAATCCTGATGGAGCCCCAGAGTGACCATAGAGAGGAAATAATATATGTATCAAGGCCATATTTTACAGCTCGAAATGCTAATTGGTGAATGAAAGATGTTTAACTATTCATTTCACTCATATTCACTCCTACCTGTACTTATTGTCTTGGTTAGTAGACAGGAAGATTTGGTAGAATTATGTTAACTGATCAATGCTACAATAGTTAGTTAATAAAGCTCACATTGTCTGAACTGTACTGTGCCACCGCAAGTTCGGGCGACATTAAATCAAACACCGGAAAATCAAAAGTGATACACGCACGTAATAGCATTTGTAGCGGTTGATATATACTTTTCTCTCTCTCCGGGGCTCCGTAAACCCCTAACCCCATGTAGACTTTAAATTTAACCAAGTTCTGCCCAGTTTCAATCAGATGTCTGGACGTTCTTTGACATGAAAATCACCAGATCAGTGTTTACTGGAAAACGCCCATATAGGCTGTTGAATCTAGAGTTTTTTTTTTCGTTTTGTCAGGTTAGCTGAGCCTGAGTTAGCACCAGTGTGTTGACTGAACAGTTAATCTGGGTTTGGCTCAGCTGATCCTGAATCAGTGGCTTTCTAATTGGATGCAAAAAAGAGCCTTATATACACTGAACACATATCAGCTTACTGGAGCCATTGATTTCTACTCCAGAGAATACTGCAGGTGCAAGAATTAACATAATAACAATATCAGCTGTTCAAACCAAGAGGAGGATGATGGGGGGAGGATGATCCTGGTACTGGGGCACTCTGGGTGATGTAGTCCGGGTCACATGGCCAGGGCTCGGGCCTTGGTGGCTGCTGCCTGCGCTCTCTGCACGGCTCCCTGGCTGTTCTCCCTCCTCATCAGCTGGTTGTTCTCGAACACGCCCTCATTGCCGCCACCGCCGCCGGGGCCTCCGTCCAAAAACGTCAGCACTCCTGAACCAGACAGACTCCTCGTAACGTATTTCATCAGAGAAAACAGGAGCTACATGTACAGCCATGCTCTTAATAAAAATCTTGGCTGCACTGTTTATAACCAGGTTACTTGAGGTATCTGGTTATAAGGAAAATTCTCCGTCTTTTACCAAATACTTTTTTTAGTTTTAGAGGAAACATGATTGGTACTCCACCAAGAACCATGGGAAGAAATCTGTTCATTGTGCAGGAAAGAATCATTTCTACAAACTTCAGAGAGGTTTTGGTTTCATGTATAAATACTTCTTGGGGATATTTTTGTCTGCTTGGGACAAAAAACTTTTGATTTGTCCTTTCTGAGCTATTTATTTAGTTATTATTTTCAAGTGATTATACACTAATGCAAACAGTTATGTGTATTATGTTCCATTTCTGCCAATAGATCCTCTTAAATGTAACACACTGGACCTTTACAAATATCTGGTATTATTATCTAAGCTGAGACTTGTTTGTGTCTCGTAAAGCTTATCATCTGAGTCCTAGTTTCCTTTATATAATGGGTTAGGGTGAACTGTTACCTGAACTTGGGCTAATGTTGAACAAAAACCTGCATTAAAAACAGGAAAACAGGAAGGAAGCCCTTCCTTTAAAAATACCACTTGGCCTGGCTCTGATTTCAGGCTGTTAAATCTCCGGAAACTGAAGGAATCTTAATGTTCCACCTCTATTTTTACAAGCACAAAAAAATTAGCCAGTTGTCACGGTGACACATTGTTCCACCCCGGCCACCCAGCAGCCTTCAAATGAAAACGTGTTGATTACCTCCAGAGACTGCGAGTGTGGATGCACGGGGGGCTTCAGACCAGACAATTAACATGTTTCACAGTTTAATATAATCAAAAAAGCATTTACAATGTTTGGTATCTGAACAAAGAACAGAGATAAACCCAGTACAGTGACAGTGTGAGACAAACAGAGGGAAACAGAGACAAACCTAAAACAAATATAAAAAGCATACAAGTGAAAGCGAGTCTCTAATTTTTATTTTAATTTTCAGGACCTTGCTATTTCTCAGTCACATTCAAATTTGTTTCCCCAGTATACACAGTGAGGATGATTTTCTCCTTCTCACTTGAAAGAAGAAAAAGAAAAAAGTAATTGGGTCCAGTTGGGTGCTGTCTGTGTGATTGACACAACGTTTTATTTATTTTCGTTCATTTTTAATACATTTTGGACGTAAAAGTACGGACTCCTTGATTCTGACAAAGGCCATACAACAATGATAGCAATGATACAGGCTTAGTAGTGTATGCTTGTTAAACAGTAGTAATATACTGTGTGTGTCTATATATACAGTATAGTTCAGGTATCAGTCGGTATCGGTACGTGTCCACACTCGGAGCATGTTTTGTGATCTTAATCTTAAATATTTATTTTGCATGAATGTGTAAAAACATTTCAATACATTACTGATATGTTTTTGTAAATTACAAAAGTATATTGAGACTAGCCATTATTACATACTCTGAGTTGAAACCGCGTTTCTCTCTTCTGCCTTTCTGCGTTTGGTTTTTATTGTCCCAAATAGTGGCCCGAGGCCCGGCACGCTTTCTCAGAGTTGCACTCTTCTATCAGTTACTTGCTTTACCTTGAGTAGGCGAGCTGAGTAAAGTGACTCATGTAAGTAGATTTCTCATAAGATCCTTCAGTATTAATACCCCAACCAGAGAAAAAATAACACCCACAATTCCAAATCAAATTGGTTCAACCATGTATGAAAATAACTGAAGCTGAAAATACACACCGCTATGCTATTCTATTGAAAGCATCAATTTGACGTGGATGTTGGTCAAGTATAGAGAGTACGCCTCCTGACAGTTTTCTCCCTTTAGGAAGCCCCCACTCTCAGAAATGCTGGCGTAAAGTATCTTAAAAACAACAACATTCTGGGTCAGATGTACCTTTCTGAGGAGAATGAGTTGAAGGCTTACCGTAGCCATCCACGCATCCGCTTTTGAACTCGCCCTCAAACCTCATCCCGTCGAAGCGAGTGAAGACGCCGGCACCTTGAAATTTGCCCTGAACAAATTCACCTTCATACCTAAAAAAACATTCACATAAAACACATTTAAAAAGTAGAGAAAGATCCCACAATCCTACAATAGAGCTTTCTAGCTGAAATAATTTAAGAGTTGTGAGGAAAAGAGCTGAGGGAAGGGCGAGGAGGGATGCTTTTCAAAAGCGCGAGGAATGCTTTTATAGGTACGTGATCAATAACGACATTGTAGTAATGGTGGTATTGAATGTTTGGAATTTTAGGCATTCAAAAGGAAAATGGGAAAAGCTATTTGTGACTCACGTAGTATCAAAACATTCCTTAAACATATAGAGCTTAGAGTGGCGGCAGAAAAGTGCACATAACGGCGTCATATCTGTTCTGCATGCTGAATCTAAAACGCTTTCTAAAATGTCTTGTTGCTCTTCTTCAGCTTCTTAAAGCAAATCCTTAGAATCACACATACAAAGGTGACAAATGCTGCATTTTTTATTACTTCTCTGCTAGTTCAGAAACGGTGAATTAGAGTTGACAGAACTACAGCATAATTGACTCCAGATAATGCAGTGACAATAATATCACAACAGAGCCAACTACAGTGTGTGAAGCAGCACAACAAACACATCTATGGTTCTGTAAATCATGACTATTTATAATCAAACATTCCTCTTTTCACAAAGCACTTTTACAGGTAAAATAGTGCAGAATTTCAGCATGAAAACAGCGTTTTTAAAACAATAGTAATATGTATCAGAAATAGACACAAAAGCAAGAAGAAAATTGTTCAATACAACATCAATAGTTTCACTTAAATGCAAACCATGAAAGGACATAACCAATACGCCCTGGCTCATAACCAGCCTTTTATATCTCTTGATAATGGAGCGTGCTATGAGTGAATCACCATAGCTGCTTCCATTCTTTGGGATATGAAACATGTCGCAACCTTCATCAGTAACATCTCAAGAAACAATCGACAGGCAGTGACCGACGGCACCAGCAAGAGTACAATGCAAACTGTGTGCCTTGATAAATAAATCAAAGCTTTCTTAAAAATATGTCGTGAAAAATATCATTATCAACATGAAATTAAATATTTTACCGTTATACATTTTTCATCGCCCAGCCCTACGATGTCAAACAGCCACAAACGGACATGAGGCTGAACTGCCAGAGAGCAGACGGGATTTCAGGGCTCAGACATCGAGAATAAAGCAGCACTGTCTCACTTTATGGCTGCGCCCACACCGTGTGCTTCATCTTTTGTAGTATTTTTGTATGTAAATGGGATGTACGGCACCCGGTCTGGCTCTCGAGACTACAAAAGTCTGATCAGCCTGATGGTCAGGGCTGGGGCTGGGTACCGAACTTCAATACTTTTATGGACCGAATTATGTCGATACTACGGAGTATTGGAAAATGTCTTGGTGTTTGGTACCAAGTTTTGATACCAATGATAGCTGTGCAGAGGCTTTTACAGGCCGAGAGGTAAAAGGAAAGAATGGCACTGTGGTTGACTGATCTCTAGCACAGAGACGGCCCGGCTTTACGAGGTCTTCAGACCGTGTTGCCTGCCCGACGTTGTTTACTTTGTGTTTCTCGTGTGTTAAAATCTACTCTGACAGACTGACTTCCGGCCTGGTGCCACAACGTTGATGTAACGCGGAATTCGATCCGGAATCTGCACCCGGTACTTTATTTTGAAAACTGACCGCCATCTCTATGCTGTTTCTGGGCCTGACTTCCTGCCAGTGCAATCTGCTCTGTGCTGCTTGACGAGAGAGACACTAGAACTGAGGCGTTGTCTGCTACCTGCTGGGCCGTATTATCACACATACGCAGAATGTCTGTGTCTAGAAACACTGGGTTAGCAGTGCCGTTTTGGTTTTGATTAGTAAACTTAGATAGAGAGAGATTTTCTTTCAATGTTTCTTTATTTCAGGTAGTTAGTTTTAAGCTCTAGGAGCTCTCTTTTGGTTATATTTATTTAATTTAAACAGGACGACCTTTTTCTATCTGTAAAAGAAATCTGATCTCCTTATAATAAATAACTGATTTAACCATGAACACGTGTATTATATTGCTTCTCTTCTCCCTTTATGAGCTGGGTCGTAATAAAGCTTCACAATGATAGAAAGTAATAATAAAGGAAATAACTGAAAACCAAATTGATTTAAAAAGGAATCATTTGAGTCTTACTTGGGCTTAGGCACAGTGACATTGACCTGCATTTGATTTTTCCCCAGATTAAAAGGAATTTTGATTTAGTACTCAAAACACCACCAGTTCAACAAGAGATTCTCCACTTTTTCATATAAGACTTAGACTGGAACCTATTGAGCGGCTGTGACCACAGCAGCTGTCCCCTGCATGTAAAGGAACAAGGCCCAAACTTTTCAGAGCCTCCATTCAAGCCTGTTCCATCAAAGGAGAGATGTTCTGCTTAATACTCATTAAACACCTGAAAACATGTTCCCTAAACTAAGCTGTTTTTTTCAGCACATGTCCTTGAACAGGCTACACTTTGTTTCTTAAACATCCCCAGCCGCACTTAAACATTTCACCTCCACTCAACAGAAACTTAAAAAAGAAAAACCCTCTGAACTGAGGAGGAGATATTTTCTGTTATCTATTATAAGGGTCACAGAGTGACATCCTATAATTAAAGTCTTTTCTGATAAATACATTTAAAAAGTATAGCAGATGTTTCTGCAGCAAGGAAGAACTTTTCCGATGAAAATAATTCAGAAGTAAGAAAGGATCTTTCTCACTTTCTGCATGTGTGGTTTGTTGAATGAGCCCTGGGGTGAAGGGTGGGAGATCTCATTTTGTGCTACACTAAATATCATTGGCTTCTTTCATTATGTTACAACATACAAAAAAGACCTTCCTGTTGGAGACATTAATAATTGTAATGACCATGAAACTTCATCAGAAAAGAACTGACACAAATTTAACCTTTTTGATAATCAATTCATCGTAATTCATCACACAAAACCTCCAGCTTCTGAGATGTTTCTTTTTTGCTGTTTCGGGGTTTTTGAACTTTTGGTCCAACAAAATACGAATTGGCGAAATCCTGGGCTTTGTGACTTCATGCAAGAAGTAAAATACAAACACATTTTCTCTTATTTTTGTTCATATCCATGATTTAATTCTTATTTTGATAGAACTGATTGATTTCTGGGATTCACCAAGCTTTTCTTGTTTTTGCTCTTCTCTTCGGTAAGAGGACATTTTACGAGTGGTTGAGTTTTTAAACTTGAATGATGAGTATCATAGAATAAGATTACATTTTAAGTTTCAGAGTAATTAAAGGGATTTTTTGGGAGTTTGGAGTATGAGACGGCTGCTTTTAGATTGGTGCAATACCCTGGAGCCTCAACGTGGAGTGCATACAGGTCATTACTGACTCTGTGCATCCGTCTGCTGACACTGCATTAACTAGGCCACAGCTGAGCGGGTTTTAAACTCCACTCTGAAAATCACTTTAAATTTATATTACATGTACGTCGATTCCCCTATACTGCTGGAGTTCTTCTTCTTATAGATGTATATCTGAAATATAAATTTCTCATCATATATATAATCAATATTTCAACATCATATAGACACATTACTATATTTATACTTATATATCAAATCAAAATCAAATCAAATCAAGTTTATTTGTATAGCCCTTTACAATAGCTGAAAGGCACCCAAAGTGCTTTACAACAAAGCCATAAAACAATACATAACACATACATAACATACAAATACAATTAAAAGTGCTGTAGTGCTGCAGCGCTGCAGGGTATTAAAAGCCTTCCAGAAATGCATAGAAAGGAGCAGACAGAAAGAGTACACCTAATAGACAGTACTGCCCTAGTCAGAATTGAATGCTAATCTAAAAAAGTGGGTCTTAAGCTTTGATTTAAAAAGGCTGAGATCAGTAGTGGTGCGAATGTCAGGGGGCAGTTTGTTCCACAGTCTGGGAGCGGCGACGGCAAAAGAACGATCGCCCCACTGTTTAAGTCTCGACCTAGGGACCTCTAACAGAAGCTGACCCGAAGAGCGCAGGGCTCTGCCACAATTGCGAAAAGTTAAAATCTCTGACAAGTAACAGGGGGCCAAGCCATTAATGGCATTAAAAACAAACAACAGAAGTTTAAAATCAATTCTAAAAGGACTGGAAGCCAGTGGAGTGACAACAGCACAGGGGTAATGTGTTTGCGTCTGGACGTGCTTGTTAAAAATCGGGCAGCGGCGTTCTGCACAAGTTGGAGACGAGAAATCGAGGACTGACTGAGGCCAACGTAAAGGGCATTGCAGTAGTCCAGTCTTGAACTGATGAAAGCATGGATTGCCTTCTCGAGATCCTGCCGACTGAGAAAAGACTTCACTCTGGCTAAAAGACGGAGCTGAAAAAAGCTCGTGCTGACAACAGAGCTAATCTGTTTGTCAAATTTGAGCCCACTATCAAATGTTACCCCAAGATTTTTGACATGTGATTTAAAAAGGGGGGCCGGAGTGCCAGAGTTTGTGGTGAAAACATTCGACATAGGTAGTGAACCAAACAAAATGCAGTCAGTTTTGCTGTCATTTAAGTGCAAAAAGTTCTGTGACAGCCACTGTTTTATATCTGTGATGCAGTCCAGCAGCTTAGTTAGTGCAGTGTTTTCATTTGGTCTCATGGGCAAATATCTGCAAATCGTCGGCATAAAAGTGAAAAGACAGGTTGAGTTTTTTTATAATTGATCCCAGAGGTAGCACATACAATAAAAACAGAATAGGGCCGAGAATAGATCCCTGTGGCACCCCACAGGGCAGCGATGCATTTGAGGAGCAGTGGTCACCAATCACGACAGAGAAACTCCTGTTTGCCAGGTATGACCTAAACCACTGGAGAGCGGTGCCACGGATGCCAACGTGCTGCTCTAGGCGAGATACAAGGACTGCATGGTATCAAAGGCTGCTGTGAGGTCCAGCAGCACCAGCACAGCAGGATTCCCAGCATCCACAGACAAGGCAATATCATGGTGCACCTTTAACAGTGCTGACTCGGTGCTATGTCGGGATCTAAAACCAGACTGAAATTTATCAAGAATAGAATTGATCTCCAAAAATGTCTAAAAAAAAATGAATAAAAACAACTTTTTCTAAAACCTTAGAAAGAAAAGGCAAGTGGGAGACAGGTCTTAAAATTGGAGAGCACAGAGGGGTCAAGATGCGTTTTTTTTAGGAGGGGCCTAACCATAGCGTGTTTAAAGGCAGCTGGAACAGACCCTGAGCTAAGCGTTTATAAAAACAAGCAGACTTTACCCAACAGAACTCAGAACCTCCTTCAAAAACTTGGCTGGAATAATATCTAAGGGACAGTTCGTGGGTTTCATGCCACTAACCACCTTAGTAAAAGAAGACAGAGAAATGGTCTCAAACCGCTCGAAGACAGCAGTCTGTGCCGGAGGAGCACAGACATCATCAAGAGACATATTCATATTACAGATATTCTGCCTGACAGATGCCACTTTATCAGTGAAAAAAGACACAAACTCCTCGCAGGTTGCAGTGGAGGCATCGGACAGGACAGTAGGGCGTGGATTAACAACAGAATCAATAGTATTAAATAGCAGTCTTGGATGATGAGAGCTGTTAGCTATAATGGAGGACAAATATTTGGACTTGGCTTCCTTTAGAGCTCTCTGGTAGGCAGCCAAACTGTCCCTTAACCAGCCCAGGGATACATGCAGTTTATCCTTTTTCATACTTTTTTTCTTCTACTCTGCATCTAACTATTTTAATAAATGTATTTTTAGTCTGCATACGGCACACCAGCTGCCCTTATACAGTGTTTAGGGGCCGCTACCTATGCTAATATTAAACAATCCATACCCCTTTATTTCATAGACTGAACAATGAATTGATTCATCCTAAAAATAATCTGCAGAATAACTGGTAATTAAAATATTCTGTATTTGCAGCCCTGCAGTCCACCAGGGCCAGGGGTTTCAAAGATGAAGAATTAAAGGAACAGAAGTTAATTAGAGCTGAAACAACTGATGACTTGATCGGCAGACAGACTAACGGCAAATATTCTGACAATCAATTTATCATTTAAGTAATTTTTCAAGAAAAATTGTGAAAAAACACAACACATGTCCTGGTTCCAGCTTATCAGACATTACTGCTTTTCTTGTCAAATATCATTTTAAAGTGAATATCTTTGGGTTTTGGACGTTCAGTTGAATAAAAAAAGGACGTTTTAAGACATGACCTTGTGCTCTGAGAAGTTGTGATGTGTATTTTTTTCTCGTTTTTTGACATTTCATAAACTAAACTACTACAGAAATATAATTGGCAGATGAATCAATAATGGAAATAATCGTTAGCTGTCAACATGTCTCCGTCTATGACAGGTTGTAATGTTGTCAGGTAAGACTTACAATATTAAAATAAACTTGAAAATGAAAATGAAGCACAGACAAAACAAACAAACAGATGAAGCAGAAGAGTGATTTTATTTTTAAAGGTCAGGTAAACAGGAAGTGAAGCACAGACCTGGAGCCGTCTGGGAAGACCAGCACCCCACAGCCGTTGAAGAGGCCGTTCTCAAACTGCCCGGTGTAGCACGTCCCGTCGCTGAAGGTCAGCTGACCCAGGCCATGACGCAGACCTGCAGCAGCAAGCACACACAGCCGAGTTACGTGCCTTCAATTAACTGCTTTTCACAGACTCATTTAGAGTCTGAAGTTTCTAAAACAAAAAACAACAAGACACAAAAAAACAAGAGATGGCAATCAATCAAACTGGACTGAATGGTAATTATGAAACTGTCAGGTTGAAAGTGCCAAAAAGAAAGCGTGGGCGATCATCATGCGTCAAAACATGAAGCCTGGATTGTCATTAGATTTTTTTTTTTTGTGAAATTGATATTGTAAAGTACATTTATATTACAGTAACAGCTAATTAACTTTAACTGGGAATGTATACAGCTCCAACTCAGCTGAGTTTAATTGCCTTTAATTGATAGAGACAGCTGAGGAGTGTCAGGAAAGGGTGGAGAGGGAGAGAGAGAGAGAGAGAGAGAGAGAGAGAGAGAGGATGACACACAGCAAAGGGCCACAGCTTGGAGTCGAACCCTGGGCAGCTGCAGTAAGGACCCAGCCTAGATACATGGATGCTCTACCAGGTGAGCTATCAGGGCAAACCTTATTATATTCTATTTATTATTGTATTCAACCTAGTGCCGGCCTCACAGCAGAAACTCCCTACGAAGTCTCAAAAACCACAAAGACAAACAGCATTGCAAAGAACTATAAAAAAGCAAACATAAATGTACTTCAAGGACCACAAATATACACAGGAATAACAACAAACTACAACCTGCCATAAATTATCTACAAATTACCGTTAAACAGGAAAAACCACAAAAAGTCCCAAAGTCTGAAAAAGATCCACCCAAGAAATTAAATGACTACAAAGTATAAACACCATATATATATATATATATATATATATATATATATATATATTATATGGACAAAAGTATTCGGCCACCTGACCATTATACCAACAGGGACTGTAATGACATTGTATTCAAAGACATATACTTTAATATGGAGTTGGTCCCCCTTTTGCAGCCAGAACAGCTTCCACTCTTCTTGGAAGGCTTTCCACAAGATTCCACAAGAGTGTTTCTGTGGGAATTTGTGCCCATTCATTCTGTAGAGCATTTATGAGGTCAGCCACTGATGCTGGACAAGAAGGCCTGGCTCGCAATGTCCGTTCCAGTTCATCCCAAAGGTGCTCGATGGGGTGAAGGTCAGGGCTCTGTGCGGGCCGGTCGAGTTCTTCCACACCGCCCTTGCTTTGTGCTATGGGGCACAGTCATGTTGGAACAGAAAAGGGCCTTCCCCAAACTGTTGCCACAAAGTTGGAAGCATAACATTGTCCAAAATGTCTTGGTATGCTGAAGCATTAATAGCCCTTCACTGGATGATAAGGGGCCTAGCCCAAACCCTGAAAAACAGCCCCATACCATTATCCTTCCTTCACCAAACTTACAGTTGGCACAATGCAGTCCGGCAGGTAACGTTCTCCCGGCATCCGCCAAACCCAGACTCGACCATCTGACTGCCAAACAGAGAAGCGTTATTCGTCACTCTACAGAACAGGTTTCCACTGCTCCACAGTCCAGTGATGATGCGCTTTACACCCCTCCATCCAACGCTTGGCATTGGATTTGATGATGTAAAGCTTGCATGCAGCTGCTCAGCCAGGGAAACCCATTCCATAAAGCTCCCGCTGCATAGTTTTTGTGCTCACATTAATGCCAGTGGAAGTTCGGAACTCTTCAGCTATGGAATCAGCAGAGTGTTTGCGACTTTTACCCACCATGCTCCTCAGCAGTCGTTGACCCCGCTCTGTAATTTTACGAGGTCTTCCGCTTCGTGGCTGTGTTGCTGTTGTTCCTAAACGCTTCCACTTTCTAATAATATCACTTACAGTTGACTGTGGAATATCCAGCAGGGATGAAATTTCACGAACAGTCTTATTGTAAAGGTGGCATCCTATCACAGTACCACGCTTGAAGTCACTGAGCTCTTCAGAACAACCCATTTTGCATCACAAATGTTTGCAAATGGAGACTGCATGGCAAGGTGCTTGACTTTATACACCTGTGGCAAAGGGGTCTGAGTGAAACACCTGAATTCAAGAATAAACAGGTGTGGCCAAATACTTTTGTCCATATATATATATATAGTGTAGTATGTAGAATGCAAATTTTTAACATAAGTTTGTAAAAGAAAATTATATCTGTATTTTCATTTATTCTTCATAACAATTATATTTTCCAACTTTTTGACGGATTCTTGCAACAATGCTTATGTGATTATTTTTTTAAACGATATTGGCCAATATATTGCTATTATGTGCTTTTTCATTAACCTCTTTCTATGATGCAGAGCTCCAGACTATCGTTCCTCAGGGTTACAGGAAGCATTCGGACAAATGAGAATATTGCATTCATCTGACTCACACTTTAACCTGAACAGAAAATAAAGTGGAAACAAAAGCAACCCTACTGCACAGCTCAGGCATCGTTCGTATATTGTTGTAGTTATTCTTTTTGAGAACTGAGAGGTTACGGTCCGATTTGAAATCAAATGTTTACTGACATACATCAATAATTCGAAAAGCACAGTTGATTGTATGCTTTAAAATATAACATTTGCAGAGGTCATTTTTCCTCTGCCTCATACCATAAACTGTATCCCTTGTGTTCATTGTATTTGTGTCATTATTTTGGAGCAACGCTGACATCTCCTTGGCATGAATCCCAGTACAAAAGATCAAACTGGAACCATAACAAACAGGGTTGAAACCAAAACATGACCATGAACTTTCCCCACTTCCCCTAAACAAAAAGATCAGTTCTTCTAAAGGCTGCAAGCCGCTGGAGGTAGATGAAAAGACACTGTGCTTCATTCACAAAATATCTATAGGCGCAGATTTGTGAGGTAAACAAATCAGATTTTTTCTTACTTCCAAAATATTTGTAGATAAACATGTACAGTATAAACCAGGGCTGATGCATACAGATTCTTAGTATGGCTTGTGGAGCGTTCCAGGCCATAAGACAGGCCAATACCTGAATACAGTGAGTCACACCTGAACAACTTGCTTCCCAGCACAAATGTCATTTGAGTGGCTGAGTGTCGGACCTTGATAGCTGACCTCTGCAGTTGGATGTTCTCAGTGCTGGTAGCTGTTTGAACAGTGTCCCCATGTGTCCACTGATGGCCTGCCATCCAATTAAAGAACAAAGATTTCCACATGGGTAAGAACAAATCAGCGGCTGGTGCCCCTTTCATGAATCCAAAGTAGGATTATTTTTTATCTTTTTCAATTTTTATGAACAAATTTAAGAAAAAACATTTGTGATTGAGGTCAGATGTTTGCAGAGTTAGGGATACAATACTTAATTGCATTCCCAAAGCATGTTTCTATATATTTTTTACATATATCTTTATCTATCCTTTTTAACACCGGTTCCTAACTGAAGGCGATGAGCAAACATCCAGTTGTTCCCGTTTTTCCCAATGAAGATGTCCTAACCTGCTCCATGTGTAAAAAAACTCACATGCTCCACCTCCAACCAGCTAAAACAATGTCAGCAGTCAACATGGGCACATTGTGCACAGCAGGCTTCCTCAAAAAGCTCGGGGTTCGGAAGGAAACTGGGGAGCTGTTGGAAGTTAAATTGTCCTCCCACTACACAGAAATGTTTCTGTGCTCTATTCGCTCACTCGCTGTCTGTCGGGAGGAAGAGGTGTAAAACATACTGGGAGTCAATACAGGTGTGATGTGGCTCTGTTAAAAATCCTCGCAGCTTCTTGATAAATAGGTCTTTAGTTCATAGTAAAAAGTCTGTTGCAGTTAGGGCACAAGGGGATAAAATAATCTAAAATGGTCTATAAGAAGTTGTATATAGTGCACATATTAGTCTTATTTCTTGTCTTGAGCTGCTGTAACCAGCAAATTAAACACAGTGTGGGATCAATAACGTCTATCTTATCTTATGGTATGAGGCTCAACACTTAAATTCCTGTCAAACTAAATAATAATTAACTTACTTAGAATAATGAACTGCTTTTGAATAGATTGAGGCTAATTGGAGGGTAAATTAGAAAGTGTGTTAGCTTGATTGACAGGTGTCTTATCCTACCACAGTCAGCGGTGGTGGTTAATGCTGGTTCATCCCGACTCACCCATTTGGATTTTCTCCTTCCAGACAATTGAGGAGAATAAGCGGTGAACCCTAACCACATTTTTTTTGATGTTGTTGGGCGAACGTATAATGAACACAGAAAGGAAAAACATCCAATAAGGTTCAGACAAACTGCAGGTTAAATCTCAGCATGAATAACACACGAGAGACTTTCAGAGGATTACTGGAAGGTGTGCAGGAGTTTCTCTTGGCAATGCAGAAGACATTTTGGGGGGGAAAAAATGTCAGAAGGCAAGTACATTATTATTTTAAGTCAAAATTCTGAGTTTGAGAAAAGTGAGCTGCCCCCTTTCTTTTTACGCCCTCTAAGAATGTTCCTATGGAGGTGAGACCCAGTTTTCCCTGTAATCCTGAGACTAATTTCCAGGATCAGGAGGATGGCACTCGCAGGAGACACCGAGGGAAAGAAGTGAGCATTTCTCCTTGCCAACCTCTATTAGCAGGCCCAGCGGGAATTAGGAGAATAACTGGATGTGAGGCACAGTTGGACACGGGCTGAGGAGGTCCTGGGTTCCTCGTGGCAGCTGTGAGCGAGGAATCGGATTTACTGTGAGCTGGCCAAGTGGCATGAAACCGATGGAGAGGAGAGAAGTGGGGAAGATCTAGTGGTGGGGGGGTGGGGGGTTAGGAAACCCTAACAGCGGATTGGGATTTACAGGAGGGGAGGCGGGCTGCGTGGTAGGGGGGGTAAGGCAAGGGTGAGCCTAGTGAGTGTTGTCCCCTGCTCCCAGCTAATGGCAAAGTAAATTAGGCAGTCCATCTGTCAGGGCTGCTTAAAGTGCTGCTCTCTGCCTAATCTCAGCAGGGTTTTCACGGGAGATTTGGAAAAGAGATTTGGCAGAAACTAAATCGGGAGCTCTGCATTCCATTTTCAAAGTCTT